ATGTGTACCGTACCTACATACAGTAAGTTCGGAGGGAAGGCCAGTAAGCAATGCATTCCATTTCCATAAAGAAAGGGTGACTGGAAGAGGGGGGATTTTAACTAATTCTAAAGAACTGAAGAGATTCAGAGTCCCAGAAAGCCAATAGAAGGTTGTATGACTCCCCTGGCATCTATAGCCAAAAGAATATGCTACTTACCTGGTGTGACCTAATGTGTCCCCCAAACTGACTCATGTTCTCAAATATCACTGCCGATACACACCAGCCTTCTGTGTCCTAAATTCTACGTAGTAACACCTTGGCCTTCAAGCTGAAAGTTACCTGTTAAGATGCAAATAGATGAGTCAGAAGGGCTTAGCTGCATTAACAACTTAATTCAAAGGAGCTTATCGAACATCAAACAGCTTGAGTTCCCTACAGAGGCCCCAAGAAAATGGGATCAGAGTATGTGGTATTACTACTCAGTTTCCAAAGCCAAGGTAGAGTGTCAAAGCAGCTTCCTGGATGACTATGGAGAGAAGGACAGTTCTGGTGACAAAAGAGACAACACAGAGTGTCTTTGAAGACCACGAAGAGAGTTTTCAGTGCAGTTTTCAGTGTGGTTCAGGCAATCATTGGACTTTTTGGACTGAAACTTTGATCCCATTCCCTGCTGATAACCACACTGGTTTGTAGCTTCCATTTCCTGCTAAGGACAGAACTTGCAGCAAACAAATTATTCTAGGTGGGCAAACCTTCTCCTTTTTCCTCCCACAGGTATATACAGGTAAGCGTCTGAGACAGGCTCTGCATGGACCAGGTCACATCTGTTAACAAGGCATTGGTTATATCAATGGCAACTCTGAGACGATTTCTCTATGCTGTAGTACGGCACTAAATATAATAGCCTCTTCACTGACACATTGTTATCAGTATTATTATGGCTTTCTCTTCATGCCTGTCACTGGATTATGGTAATTTTTTTTAGTCATAGGTTTTAATCGGAGTTGAAGTCTCTGAGTTACTGACAGCTCGGAAGAGCTGTAAATGCTCTAAGATTGACTTCCCACTGTCACAAAATCATAACACAAGCAAAAAGTAGAGGTTCTCTCAACCCTCTTCATTCCAATTAAAAACAAAGCAACTTTCTAAACAGCAGGCTTCTTTTCCCGATTTCACGCCAAAGGAGAGGGAGGCAGAAGGCACCAACTTCTCTCCTCGTCCTTCCTCCAAGGTTCAGTGCAAGAAACAATGACCTTGGCAAAAATGACGAGAAGCAGATACTGCAATTAAGCTAATGGTGTCTACAGGAAACTAGGAATCATTCCTTTGACATGCTGTGGTACTGAAACAGCATCAGGCCTTGGTGAGTTCTCCTGACCTTGTAGCAGCTGCTCACAGACATTGCCTGTGGTCATTCATTTGAATAACCACAATAGAGCTGGGAAAATGAGTCATGTTAACTATCCCCTTTGGAGGTTATGAAACAGAGGCAGAGGCACCTCTGGCCTTGCCTTCCTGGCACCACAGAAGTTCCCTCCTGACCAAATGTGACCCACAGCTAGGAGGCATCTAGGAGTAGGCCAAGTGTTAGACAGAGATTACTAAATCTCCTTTCTGTCATCATGGGGAAGTTGTATGAGACCACAGTACCAATCTTAGATAACCACTAGCTACTTTTTCATTTTGCCTTCAGAGTCCTTCTGCTTCTTCCGTTTGCAGCCCTTTCCCCCTTTCTAGTGTCATCCTTAGGCCTCCCACGACCAGCACAGACCATTCTGGCATCGAACTTAGGTTAGTCCTTTACATCCACCCAAATCCTTATTTGCCTGAGGTCCTGTTCTCAAGTAATTATCACAGAAAGAGATGACCTGAATATATGCTAGGTTATGCTGCAGTGATAAATAACCCAAAAATCTCAGTAGCAAAAATGACAGTTTCTCACTTATTTTGCATATCCACCACAGGTTGCCGAAAGACTCTGCTCCCCAGAGTAACTCAGTAACCCAGGCCACCATCAATGACCCAGATCACCGTCTTAGAAGTCGCCACCATCATCTCCAAGAGAGGACAGGAACTAGAGTCTTATTCTGGCAATTAAATGCACTGACTGAGAAATTACATTACTTCCACTCACAAGGCATTGGCCAGAATTCATCACATGGCTTCATCCAACCAAAAAGGGACCAGGAAGCACAATCTTCTTTTGTGCATCAGAAGGCACAGAGCCAGAAATATTTGATAAGCTGCATAAATGATTAACATGACAATTATTTTGCAATAAGAAAAAAATGAAGATTTGCAGGGTAGAGAGTTACGCCTCCTGGTGCTGTTTGCTATTACAGTAAAGCTGTGTTCAGTTCTCTACTGCTAGGAAGGATCGACCAGATAATGGAAAAAAGAAAAATCTCTCCCCAGTTCAGACCCTATGCTTGCTTTATTTGTTCACAGTTCTCAAGGTGGTTTGCCCGAGTGAATACAAAATTATATAAATATATGCCGAAGATGAAAATAATAAGGATGAGAATATGTGCCAAACAACTTAAATTTGGTAGGGAGGAGAGAGGCATAGTGGAAGGAAAACAAATTGGAAGCCTAGACAGAAAACTGAAAGAGATTTTATGCTTATCTGAGATGATAAAAACAAAGATGGATACGGATAATTTTTTGCTATTAGCTGCTAGCTTTCTGGAAGCATGAAAAAAAAAAAAAAAAAGCCAGGATGAAGATTGCATCAGTCTAAACACAAAGCAGTTCAGGCTTGGAGTAGAGTTTGAAGGAAAGAGACATCTGAGATTACTGTGGAGAAATAATGAATGCAAAGAGGTGATGGCGTGTGGAAGAATGGAGACATTTGCTGTTCTTGTATCCAGGAGAACTGCTGAGATTTAGTAGGAACACCCAGCAGTGGCAGCACAAAGTTCAGTTTCAGAAAATAGAATTGGCAGCAGAATCATGCTCTTGTGCCCTAGCAAATGCTATATATGTGCCCAGGGCAAAAACAAGCAAAGGAAGAAGCAAGCCCCACACATGACCAATATTTGAGCACCCATCCTCAGGTCCAAAGCATGAGGGAGGGGAAATCTCAAAGATCTTTGTGTACCTTGTAGCAGTTCCAGGGAAATGAGACTGTGAAGTGATCCCACATCCAATCTGTCAGCAAATTCTGTTGGCTTTAGCTTCAGCGTGTAACCAAAAGTAGAATCCACCTTAACACCTCCACCTGCCACTTCTCCCAAGCCACTCTAATCTATTGCCTTGATTTTTACAGTGGCCTAACTACTATCCTATTTAAACCCTTGTCTCCCAATTGTGCGTCTTCTATGCAGCAGCCAGAGTGATCGTCTTGAAATGTAATTTCTCTGCTTGAAACTCTCTGATGGCTTCCTATTCTTCTTAGAGGATCCCAAGGCCTTCCCTTGACCTAGAAAGCCATCTAGGATCCAGTCCCCCAAATGTCCTGGCCCCCATTCCCCCATCACTCCCTTTCCACCCACTTGACTTTGTTCACACTAGCCCTGCTGCCCCCTCTGCCAAGCCTTCTGTCTCAGGGCTTTTGCACTGGCTGCCTTCTGTGTCCAGGGGGGCTCTTCCCCCAGAAATCTGCATCAAGACTGTTCCCATGCTTCCTTGGAGTCTCTGCCCAAATACTGTTTGATCAGTGAAGTCTTTCTTATCCATTCTATTTAAAAGAACACACTCCCACCCCAGCCCTGAAGGCCCTAATCCTTCTAAACTATCTTTCCTTAGCTGGTTTTGTGTGAAATGGGTTGTCACATGTACTGATTCAGTTGTAGTTATAAGTACTCCAAAAGGGCAGGAAGGATTTTGCCTGATTTGTTCACTGCTATAACCCCAGCATCTAGAACAGGACCTGCCAACAGTGTAAGCCCAATAACCACGTGTTGATTGAACAGATTGAAATTCATCTCAACCCTCCCACTACAGGGACCCAGTGTCAAAGAGATATTCAAGGAACAAGGCATCTCTCTCTCTCTCTCTTTTGTGATACCCTGTGAGGATTCGGTGCCTCCTTTTCCTACCTGATATCAGCTGCCATGGATACAGTTTTCTTAAAGGGTCAAGGATGCGACAGATGCTTTATATGAGCTTTTATGTCCTCGGTAAAATTAACAACAAGCAAACCTTGAGTAATAAAGCTATAATTCTGTCTTGCAATTCTGATTTGATACAGACTGTAAGAGCTTGGCTCTTGAGGCTAAAAGCTGTTTCCAGAACCCTCAATGGAATTATACCTCTGTAATTCATTTACTGTTATTCATTTTATGTATGTTTACAGATAGAGCCAAAACAATCATACAGCCAGCAAAACTAAAGCAAAGAAGAAAAGATACCTAGTGGTTTTCATTTTTAAATTACAATCATTATGTGAGTTACAATATTTTGCCACACTACAGCACTTCTAGGCTAAATAAGAACTACACTTAACAGCAAGGTAAACATAATAAGATAGCTTTTTAAAAAATGAATATTACCTTGCTCTGTCTTCAGGGATGTTATTTTCAATAGCAATATCAATTCACAAAGAAAAGTCAAGAGAATAATTACGGATGTTTAGCCAATAGGACTGGTATATGTAAACAAGATCAGAAAAAGGTACTGGATAATACCCTTGGAAGGCCTCTAAAGCTATTATCCCACCACAGCCATTTTCAACTACACAACCAAAAACAATCCAATAAGCTTTCATCATTTATGTCCAAATTTCTAATGAAATAAGCCTCTTGAAAAATAAACAAGTATACAGATGGGCTTGGATAGATCTGGCATTAAATCTACACTTTATGTTTCTTATTTTATTTCATTTTAAGATGATTTAGGATATTCAAAAGTGATCTGTTAGAAAAAATTATTGGAGAGACAATAACATTTTTCTTGCACCAGATGCAAACTAGATAGTGATAAGATGAATACACTTTCCTTATCCAATGAACTAAAACTTCATTTGAGAATGAACATCAAGGACTTAGAAGGTTCTCTTGTGTGGAGTTCTTTCTTCTTGATAAAGGGTCTCTCCTGTCACCCAGGGTGGAGTGTATTGGTGCGATCATAGCTTACCACAGCTTTAAACTCCTGGTCTCAAGTGATCCTCCTACCTAAGCCTCCTAATTAGTTAGGTCTACAGGTGTGTGCCACCATGCCTGGCTAATTTTTTTTTTTTTTTAAATTTTTGTAGAGACAGTCTTTCTATTTTCCCCAGACTGGTCTCAAACCCCTGGCCTCATGCAATCCTCCCCCCAACCTCCCAAATCACGGGGATTACAGGCATGAGCCACCATGGGTGTTGGCGTGTGGATTTCCATCTACAGGACACTTGGCTTCCACTTACAGCCTATGTCATATATAGACTGCTGAACAGCCTAAGATAGTGTGTGTAAAATTTTACAAATGTTTTTCTTGTTTCAATCAGGCATGACCTTTAAGTATATAAAACTGTATATAAGAAAGGTGCCCAGAAGACTTCTGGAAGAATTAAGCAAATTCAATTCACAAATATTTTTGAGTACCTACTAAATGTAAAGCACCTTTCTAGGTACTGAGATACAACTGTGAACAACACAGATTTAAATCTCTTCATGGAGCTTCTACTCTAGTGTACTGGGAACATGGACAGGAAGCAAAATAAGTAAATGACATATTTTCCAGGTGAGAACTGCTAGGTGCTCTAGAGAAAAATCAAGTGAAGAACAGCCAGGGAAGGTAGGCCAGGAGTGCAACTCTAAAGAGAATTAGGGCAGACCTTGCCGGAAAGGAGACATTTAAGCAAAGACTCGATAAGTGCCAATAACTAGATGAGTTTTCCAAGCAGAAAGAACTGCAAAAGCAAAGATCCTGATATGGAAGTGAGCCTGCCATATGACTGAGTGGAGAGCAGCGGATGAGGTCGGAGAGGTCGGGGGGCCGTATCCTACAGTGACGCAGGGCACAGGTGGCTTGACATGGCCAATGTTTTCAAAGCATCACTGTATACTTTGTCTGGAATAGCTGGGGTGGGCTAGAGGGCAAAAATAAAAGCAGAGAGACCAGTCAGAAGGCTTTAGGGTGAATGTAGGTGGGGAAGTTTGGCTGCTACCCTTGGATCAAGGTGGTAGCCAAAGAGTTGTTGATACAATATGGTCAGATTCTGGATATCTTTTGCAAGTATACAAAATAGGATGGGGACAACAGGATTAGGACACTTCCAAAGATTCACCTGGCCAATTTAGGTAGATATGATCCTCTCCCCACTAGGTCCAGCGCGGTATTATTTACATCATTCACCCACCAAAACTTAACAGGCATCAATGAAAATCTTTTTTTTTTAAGAGACAGAGTCTAGTTCTTGCTGCCCAGGATGGAATTCAGTGGCATGATGCTAGCTTATTGGGCTCAAGCAATCCTTTCGTCTCAGCCTCCTAAGTAGCTGGGACAATACGCACCTGCCACTACACCCAGTTATTTTTTATTTTTTCATAGTTTTGTAGATACAGAGGCTTTGCTTTGTTGCCCAGCTGGTCTTGAACTCCTAGGCTCAAGCGATGCTCCCACCTCAGCCGCCTAAAGGGCTGGGAATACAGGCATGAGCCGCCATGCCTGGTCTATCAGTGAAAATCTTAAAGGATAGCTCAGAAATGTTGGTACTTTGGGACAAGTAAGAACCCATGTTAGAATGAAAGGGTTCCTGAGTCAACAGAAGGTGTAATGTATCTGCTGCTCAATGTGCACACATTGTTAGCGGGGGAGCGTGTCACCCTATCTCTCCTCTGATCACCCTTCCTCTCACTGACCCAACATCATTCTGGGAGCTGTGAGCAGTAGAGCCATAGAGCACTATTTCTGTGCTCAACAATTTCCAGCTTACTTGAAGAGGACTGTGAGACTCCCTCCTCCATCCTTCTTCTGATCCTCTTTCTCTCTGCTTTTCTTTTCCTCCCCTGCCTTTGTCAGATTTCCCTGACAAAGATGCTCTCTCAGGCTCTTGGCGCGACTGACCTCCATGGAGACTGTGCTTGTGGTTTTTCCTTTGTTCTTGTCTGCAGTCTGACAACACTTTTAATAGTGTCCCTCTCAGGAGTGTCACAGCCCTGTCTTGTACTTTCCTGTATTTCTTCCCTTGGCCCCTGGTTAAGGTAAAGCCCCAAACCAAACAGGACCTGGCCTTAAAAACTCCAGGATCAACTCAAGACTTTTGACAGTGTGGCCTTCCTTGGGGCCTTTAAGTTAGATGCTCAGTGTGCCATGGGCCTGCTCCTCCCAGGGAGAAGGGAGAAGTCAGACATGTCCTTTCCAGCAGCTGGGCTCCATCTTCCAGGATGCTTGGACCTTTTTCAGCAAACAAACCCTCCAGGCACCAGAGACCTGAAAAAAAGTGTCATTATTTTGGTTCCTGATAGCTTTAAAAATACAGCTAAGATTTTTACTGGAGATCATGTGAGCCACGGAAACGTGAATTTTACTATTTAGTGTGTAAACTGTGCCTTTTAAGCATATGCTGCAGCAGATGGTAGGTGATATTGTGGTGTGCTTAGTTAGATGGGATCCTTGCTAAAGCTCACCCATCCCATCTGCATTCTCTAAAGGCCAGGACATCCTGTTACCTGAGCTAAGAAATCCATCAGAACCAAGAAAACGTTTAAAATGGTAAATAATAATAATGGGTCTGTGCTGGGTGCGTGCTAATAAAAATGCAGAGCTTCTCCACCTCGAGTGGAAAAAAACCAAGGTAAACCCAGTATCAGCGATTCTTCCAGAAAAGCTGTCACTGTGATCTGTGAGGCACTATCAAGATGAAATTGGAACCAAGTGTACTTTATTCAGGACATCTTTGAGATAAAAAATATAATGCTCCTTTTCTATCTTTGTGACATTGTTCGCAAAGATGTGATTTGGCTGTTAAAACCACTTGCACTGTATCTCAAGGCTAAGGCTGACAATTCAAATAAAAGCCTCTCTCTCTCTCTCTTTGGTTTGTTATCTGAGCCGCAGCTAGCTGTCATGGCCATCTACACAGTGGGGCACCTGGGAAGGGGTGAGGCGTGTGCCTGGCCTGCCATCACATCCCACCTGACTCCATGCTTCTGAGCTCCATTTAACTTTCCAGAGTTCTGGGAAATTTCTGTTTTGTTTTGTTGGATGACCTCAAAACCAGGTGCAGTGTTAAAAGCCAAACGATGGTGTTTAATTTTTAATAACTTTATTGTACATGCTTTGTAGAAAATTTAGAATACATACTGGCACAAAAAAGAAAATAAGATCCCATCATTTTAGATTAGCACTGTGAATATTTGAACATATTTCCTTCTGATCTTTTCTCAATTCAACATGTGTGTTTTGTTGGTTTATTTTTGTTCATAAAAAGGGTGGGGGTATTTGAATGAACAATTCTGTGAATTGCTCATTAACAATTTATGACAAACATTTTCCAGCAGCATTTAATTCTCAACAGATGTGGGCACACTACTTTTTCCCATCATCATTAATCTGCAGAGAACACCATTCCAGATGAGTATCTCTGAATTATCATAAATCACTTTAGAATCTTCATTAAAAGAAAAACTGTAGAATGTCTCTCCCTACAAAGATGCAGTGTCACGAAGGCAGAATCTCATCTGAAATATTCAAATTCACTGGCCCTTTTGACTAGTTGCAGTAAGCACTGTATTCTTGTTTGCCCAACCTCAAGTCCCCTCGGAACCTCAAGTCTGCCCGGTAGTGAAGCCATCCTGGCCTGCAAAGGATCTCCCCCAAGATGCCCAACCCCTTCTCACCTAAGGGTGCCTCTAGCTTTCTGCAAAGTGAGTCATCCTTACAACTAAATCAAAGAGACTATTTCCCTATGCCAAGGCCATTTTCAGATAAATAAGTGTGTACATTTCTCCTGGAGACGCTAGGTTGTTGAATTGGTATTGAAAGGTATCGAGAATCCATCAAAGGCCTGTGGCACTAAGAGGGTGGGAAAAAGGAGCAGGTTAAGTCTGAGAAGAGGAGCACTATAAAGTCACTCATTGGGATCTAGAGTTGGATAATGGCTATTCAGTCAGCCCCAATGTTTGATATCCATTGGCTTGTGACATTGTCTTTTTACTATGGCATGTTCCCATACACTCTATGGGAAAATTTTAGTGGATTGCAGTGGTTTGAGGAGGAGCAGTTTGGCCTCCTTGAAAGAAATTTCACTTTTGGAAGAACAACAAAAAATGGTGTGCCTGTGCAGTGCACTCATCTTTTTTTCTCTGAGCTGCCTTGCATTAAATTCAGGCCAACTGGAGCACTGGCTGAGATTTCCATCTGGGAGGTGGAGTGGTTTGGACTAGCCAGGGGCTGCCAGTGTAGCTGTAGGTGTCTGAGACCAACGTTCTCATTGAAATTTTAGGTAGAAAGGTGCCTGCTCATTTTCTTTTGTTCATAGTCAACATAGACATTCATTTTCAAGCACATACAAATTTTTCACCATTTTGACAGGTGGAGGCAGAGAAACGAAGACATCCGCAGCAGCAGGAGATGAAGAAAACCTATTGTATTAAATTGTTTTCTTCCCCTTTCCTGAGCTGTGGAAAGGGAGGAAAAAGAGGGGTTCTCAAACTTCATTGGGATGTTTACAAAAAAATCTGGTCTAAGATGCAGCTCAATGATTGCTAATAGAAAAAGTCGCACATATGTCAAATCTGTAATAGATTTCTTATTTTAGGCAATTGGCAGCCAGCTATGGCTCTTCCATCTCTACCTCTGATTGTTTGCTTCATTCCCTTCATCACTTTCAGCTATTCCGATAGGTGAATCTCAGGCTTCCAAGCAACAGAGTTCATATATTACACTGGGACATGCAACCTGAACTAAATTCACTGATTGTATGGTTAAAAATCCACAATCATGAGCAGTGGTGTCTTAGCCAATTGAGTATACTTTGTTATGTTAGTTTTCATGCTAAAGATAATGTACAATCAAAGAAAAAAACTAGAAAACGTAGCTTTCTAAAGAAATGCAATTGGCTCAAGACCCAGCACAAAAATTAGAGAAAATCAAACAAAATTTTATTTTTACAGAACAGGTCATGGTCAAGGGTACTTCCATTAACAATAATAGTCTATAAGTATGGGAATCAAACACTTGTTCTCGGGAAATATTGCCAGTGCTAGGAAGAAACTCGCAGGTGTTGACATTTTCACTGCGTAACAAATTCTGACCGCCAAGGAAATACATCAACAAATCTCTAACCTAGAAAAGAAAAAAAAAATGGAAATCTAGAAGAGAAAGACTCATCTTCAGAGAGAAACCTGAGCAGTTCTTAGAAACCTTCTAGGGGAAGATGGTTGGGAAACTTTAGGAAAGAAGGAAATCTCAGATTAATCATGCCCATTTGATGTGTGAGAGCTGGAGAACTGCAAGAAATGGAGAAGCCGATGAAACAGAACTCCCAACTAATGCATGTAATCAAAGTTGTTTAAAGGACAATTCATCGAGGGAAATTGCTTGAGACAATAATGTAGGTGCCTCTGCCATTGCCTTGGGAAGAAGGCAGATTTTAAACTACAGCTTGGAACAGTTGTTTTCGTTGCATAAAGCCTGCATCACTGGAAAATTGGGTTCCATAAATTGAGATTATTTTGGTTACATTAAGCTTTACTACCAACTTTCCTGTAGTTTTAGAGGGGTAATTTACTTGAACCATTCAGAAGTCAAGAACAAGCCTGCAAGATAAAAATGAGTCAAAATTTGAAAATTAATTGAATAAATTAGTTTGATAAGCAGTCAAACAATCAAAAAACACCACTGATTCTGTTTTTGGGGAAAGTAAATGGCTTATCAATTAACAGATTTGAGATTAAATGCAGTCAATTTTCAATTATCAATGCTAATGGAGAAAAGGCAGGAATGAGAAACAAGATCCACAGAGAACACTGAAGCCTCATTTCCATTTCAATCTTTTCCCCCATTTCCATTTCAATCTTTTTATTTAACTAATTTGAGATTTAAAAGCCTCTCTGTTTCCCTTCAAGTAATTAAATAAACATGGATCAAGGGCCTACTGTGTGCCAGCCCCTCGGGAGGCATCCAGGAGAAAGTAGCCCGGCCAAGAAGCTGCCTGGGACCCGAACAATAACAGTCTTGGCTTCAGTTGTTTACTTTTATCATCTCAGCAAAATGCAGAGCATAGATTAGAATTAATGAAAAGGAAAAAATGCCTTTACTAAATAAGGATATCTTTATCTCAATTCTTCTGTAAAATAAAGTTCTTCACTAGTTCTTATTCTTTTTTGTCTTTTTTTCAGTTCCCTCATTCTTAATCCTGATCTATGTATGAAAAAGAAAATGGCAGCTAGGAAAAAATGGAGAAAGGACAAAAACTAGGCAAAAAACAAAAGAAAAATGTATAGAAAATAAGATTAAAAAAGAGTATAATTTATTTATAAACAACATTAAAGTTGACCCGAATTTTTCCTAGTAGATAAAAAGCGATAAAAATGGATTTATACATGTGAACTTTATGATTGACAAGTCAGAGGATAATGTGGAGATAATGTAGAAATGAGACAGTAATAATGTCCATTCCAGCAAATAGGAAGAAAGGCAGCTGCAGAGACCAGTAAGCCGGAGAATTTGGTCAATGTTTATTACAGAAGTGACTGAACAAGAATGTCTAGGAAATAAGAAGTAAGTCAAGGCAATTAATGATGAGCTCCTTCTAGAAATCATTTTCTTATTTACTCATTTCATGAATATTGGAGGTGCTCCTACTGTGAGACAAGCACCCACAGACCCTATCCAACTCAATGGTGTCCAATAAATGTTTTTTTTGAACCAAGAAATAAAAGAAGAAAACAATAAATGAATAAGCCAATACTTCAGAAAGTCCACACATCCTTTTTCTCCTGGAGCCTTCTGCCAGGTGCCTTTCCTCTGCTCCTGTTGGACTCTTTCTCACCTACTCATTCATAAGGAATCTGAAATCCCAGTTGTCTTGAATTGAAACTCTCATGGGCCATGCCAACCAAGTGAACCCGAGTGAATCTGGTCTACTCATTTTGAGGAATCTGAATAAAGGGAGGCTGTAGAATTTCAAGAAATAAGATTAATGATCTTATGCTTAATTCTATCAGTCATGGGCAAAATGAAACTATAAGCATTATGTTACCAAATACCATGGAGACAGCAGATGTCTTTGTTAGATAGTGCTAATCTCTTGTAAAGAGATGTGCCCTCCCTTGAGCCCTCATCCTCAGCACCCCAGCTTTCTGCTGTAATAAGGAGGCATTATCCATGATATGATCTTGGGCAATGCATTAGTGCTCGCTCAGACATCATGACGCTGGGTGAGATGACATTGCAGGTTTTATGGTAACTCAGTTATCCCAAACTATCTGATGATGCAGCGCAGCCTCAGGCCAAAGTCAAATCTGTGATGCCAAGGGCTGAGACGAAAGGATGGGGAGGACCACAGGCTGAAGAACGTCTCTCAAATGCAGGCCAGTGCCAACACCAGGAACAGAATTAGCATGGACTCAATTTGATTACAGAAATCCAAAAGGAATCCTTCCAGAATTTAGCACCTGATCAGCACTTTGCCAGAAAGCGGGACTTAAGTAATAATAGACTCTTACTAACTGACATGTATGTATGCCTTTAAAATGCGCCAAGTGATTCTAATGTATAGCCAAGGTTGAGAACCACTATCATGGTATGGAAGGAAAAGTAATACCTTTTCCTCACCCATCAGAAGGGGCATGGCTGACAACAGTGTAATGAAAGACAGGTTGACAAGAGAAAAGCATAAAAAATTTATTTAACCAGTTTTATGTGACACAGGAGCCTTCAGAAATAAAGACCCAAAGACCTAAGGAAAATGTGTATTTTTATGCTACATCTGATGAAAGAAGTGAATAGTTGTGGAAACATGATTGGACAAAATGGAAATATGACCTCATGGTAATAAACTTAGGGGAACACAGAAAGCCCTGTGTGTTCAGATTGTTTGCTGTGTCTCTGTAAGACATACCTTCCCCTCAACCCCAGGTGTGGAGCAGGACACTTGTTACCTAAAGGCCATTAAGGAGGAGGGAGGCAGGAGGAGAATGTCCTAGGTCTTTTTTGTTTGGTTTGGTTTGGTTTGAGACAGAGTCTTGCTCTGTTGCCCAGGCTGGAGTGCAGTGGCATGATTTTGGCTCACTGCCAACCTCTACCTCCTGGGTTCAAGCGATTCTCCTACCTCAGCCCCCCAGGTAGCTGAGATTATAGGCACACACCACCATGCCTGGCTAATTTTTGTATTTTTTTTTTTTAGTAGAGACAGGGTTTCCCCATGTTGGCCAGGCTGGTCTCGATCTCCTGACGTTGTGATCTGCCCACCTCGGCCTTCCAAATTGCTGGGATTACAGGCATGAGCCACCGCACCTGGCTTGTCCTAGGTCTTATAGCTTGCTTTGGGGAGAGGAATTCTAGTTTATATTACCTGCTTATGAGAAGAAAGCAGGGTGAGAAATAGGAAGGCAGAAGATCAGAAGGACCTTCTTGTTTCTGAAGCTCTCCTGTCTTCTTCAGCTCAAAAATACTCAGCATGCCAAGGTGCCATACCTGGGGATATTGTGTTCTGAGTCCCAACAATGGCATCAAAATAAGGTTCTAGTTCTTCCTCTTCCCTCCTCCAGGTTCCAACATGAAAAATGCCAGGTTTTTAGAACATTTTAAAAATCACTATATAAGGGTCTCTGAGAGTGTCACAAGCCTTGCCCAAGACTTAAATCACTTAGAAGATGCTTGACGGTCTGAAGTAAATGTGGGGAACTGCAGAGCAAAATTGAGTGGTTGGCCAAGGCAGTGGTAAAATGTGGTCCATGCCTTAATGAAGGGAATAATAGGGTCTCTTTGGGGCCCTCCTGCTGAGTTCTTCCCCCTTCAAGGCTGTTCAATGGGCTGGAAAGCCCTCTGCAAACTCCCCACCAAGTTACTCATGCTGTCTTACTCAGCTTATTTCTTCTTTGGCACTTGTCACTGGGTAACTTGTAATTACTTCAGTATGTTAGAAAAGATATTTTGAAAAATTACTTAATCAGCGTTTTTGTTGGATTTTGTACTAGTAGGCCCAAGGTATCCATCTGCCTAAGGGGAGATTAGAATTTATTGGAGAAGTAACAAAGAAAAAGGGGGAGGATGGTATTCACTCCTAACATGCAAAATAGGATTATGCGCCAAACAACAGCTCTACAAGCCAGGCATTTGTAGTGAGAGGATTTTCCAAATTCCTCTAATATCTGTTTTATTAAGGGTCTATGCTGGAGCTCTTCTGTAGTAAGAAGCTATCCCTTCCCCTCAAGACAGGCAAGCCAATAAGGCTTGTTGCTCCTTAAGAAGATGTAATGCAGAGGATGATTAAAAAAAAAAAAAAAAAACCTGGGGAAGAGTCAGGGAGTGAGGAGGAAGAAGAGAAAAGGAGAGAGTCAGTGGAGCAGCTTTGGACCAGAGAAGGTTATTAGCTGTAAATAGGTGAGGAGAGTGAGAGCAACGCCAAGGGCAAATGTGAGCACTTGCCCTCTGCTCAGTCCACCCTCTGCTTAGGACTGTGTAAGAGACCACCCGGTGTCCGGCTTGGCCTCTTCAAATTGACCTTGTGATGCCATCGAGTAGAGAAGACTCTGAGCTTTTGCTTTTCTGGGCCATTCTCAATTCCCATTCGTATGAACTGTAAGTTAAGTGCAAGGAAACTTGACATTTTGGTTCACCTGTGCAGCCTTTCTCTGGACATACATGCCATTTCTATCAGGTTTGTTGAAATATTGGAACTAGTTTTATGAAATGCATTGTAGTGTCTGTGCCCATTGCAGTTAACATTGCAAAGGATAAAATGATCTCTAGACACCCAAGCAAGATCCCAGGGTCTCTGAGGGTGTTTCTTGCTATCAAACATCAACATTTCCCCAAACCCCAACTCAGTGACTATGAATAGGCATAGTTTGCTTATTCATTCATCAGTCATTACTTATTGAACACTATGATGTACCAGATGCCGAGATACATATAGTTGATAGAGAACTGTCCCAAAGTGCTCAGAACCGAAACTGCCTTTGCAAAAATTATGACAGTCAGAGAAATCTGACATAGTTGACTCCACTTTGCTTCTAATCTTACAAGCTAACTGCTTTTGTTAACTTTAAAATAAAGATGATAACAGTCCTTTCCAGAAACTAACTCCCTCCTTGCTCAAGGACCAAAACCATCTTTGTAAGACTAATGAAAGGCCACAAGATAATGATTAAGGAAGGGGACTACATTCTGGAAGACACAAGTATAAACAATAGCCAGCCATTGTTCCCTAGCTTGCCTTTCTAAAATCCCTTAGTGCTTAGGAATCATGGAGCCTAGGTCACAAGATTTGTGACTTCCACAATTGGCTCCTATAGATAACATCACTATCGTCAAAACCCAAGGTAAGTCTCTGACATAATTTTCAGACTTTTACATCCTGACTGATTCCACCAGATCCATGACACATACCAAATAATTGATTTAACTGGTGACTGTCACCCAGCCACTAACTCAATAGGCATAGACAGTTTGGACACTGTTATGATTTCATCCCCACAAAATAATAGCACCCATTCCAAAGCCCCCTGTCTGCCAAATTAACCTTAAAAACCCTGGCCTCCAAGCTCTCAGTGGGGCAGACTTGAGCCATGTCTTCCGTTCTTCTGCTTGGTTGGCCCTGTGATAATTAAACCCTTTCTTTGCTGCAATACTTGCTGTTCTTGGTGCATTTGCTTGTCTGTGCAGCGGGAAAGATGAACCCATTAGGTTATTACAAAATAAAGTAAAAAAGTTAACAATGGGGGGATGAGGGAGGGAAAAAAAAACAATGTAAACAAAGATAATAATACTGTTATGGATTGAATTGTGCCCCCCAAAACGATATGTTTAAGTTCTAACCCTCAATACCTGTAAATGTGACCTACATGGAATGTGATCTGAGAGACCAAAATAGATGCCCATTTATCAAGATGGACCCAAAGATTAAGGAAGCAAAGTTTCCTATGGGTCAAGGGTTCAGGTCCAGGCTTGCAGGACTAATTTCTAAATTCCTATGGCTAAACTCCCTAACAACAGGAGCTATTGTAACCGGGTGGAGCATGTACTCAGCTCCCTCCCTGTTTGGATTCCAGGACCTTGGCCTCTCTTACCCCAAGAATGGGGAAAGGGGCCCTGGAGGTGTGGTGAGCTTACCATTGGAATAAATATCGTGGACTCAAAGAGTTTAGGAGAGAGTGATTTATTAGGCAGAGAGAGAGAGAAAAAGAGAGAGAGAGCTCCCATGCTGCCATGGGAGGGGATCCAAGGAAGGAATCCGTATAGGTAAGGAGCATAGGATTTTAACCCTGGAGTTATTCCCTCCCCGTTCATGTTCTTGTCCAATGAGAGGAGTTCTTTCAAACCTCCTCTGGAGTGATTGATCTTTGACTCTGATACCGGATTGGCTGCTTAGTATGCAACAAAGTCCCCTCCTCTCAGAGCTTTTGGAACAAAGTAGCTCACCTGGATTTTCCCCCTAGCCTGCCAGCAGAAAAGTTAAGACAAAGAACTTTATGTTCAAAGAACTTTATGTTCCCGGATGGGGGCATGGATGGATGCATGGCACTGGGAAGCTCCTGCCTTTGAAACCATGCCCCTCGTGGACCTGGGAAGAGAAGTTTCTTCCCTTAACACAGTCCCTCACTATGGGCTCTGGTTTATAACCCAAACCACTACAACTCTGATTGTACAGCAGGTTCAGCCTTAAAAACATTCTTTTCTGATAAGTAATTGCCGACCTTACACCAGTTTCAGCCAGCTTATGGAGGCTGTGCACAAACTATCATTGCATCCTATAGTTCACCTTTTGACATGGAGTCAAATTTTACCTTATTTTAATCTAAAACCCCTCCCTAAAGTGAACATGGGATGTATGTCACATATGCATTTACCCATCACACGTGTGCTCAGCTCCCCTCATAAATAAATATAGCTTCCCTCCCAAACCTGCTGAATATGTATGACTCTATTGTCTAATACAAACTCTGTGGGGCACTTAACCCAACCTGCTTCCCTTCCCCTCTTCAAAAAGAGAGCACCTTTGGTCCCCACTGGAGACTTCTCTTCCTGGCTTGCAAAATGATATCACCAACAAACCTCTCGTTGTCGGTGATATCAGGAAATAGGGTCCTTGAAGATGTAATCAATTAAGATAAAGGCACACCAGATTAGGGTGAGGCCCTAATCCAATGTCACTGGTGTCCTTTTAAGAAGAGAATAAGATACATAGACATGAACGGGAGGATCTAACGTGAAGAAGTAGGCCAAGGTGGGAGTGAAGCTGCCACAGGCCAGGGAATGTCAAGGCTTGCGAGCAAACATCAGAAGCCAGGAGAGACAAGAAATGGGTTCTCTCTGGGACACTCCAGCAGGAACCAACCCTGCTGATGCCTTGATGTTGGACCTCTGGCCTCCAGAACTGTACAATAATAAGTTTCTCTTGTGTGAGGCAACCCAGTTTGTGGCAGTTTTTTATGATACCTTGAAGAAGCAAACAGCAATACTCTGCAAGGAACACTTTGTTAGGGTATTTACCTAAGACAGGGAAGAACACAGAGGAAGCAAAGGCCTTCCCACAGAAAGTAGGATGCTCTCTGTCTTCACAGGTGCAGAAGTGGCTGGAGGGTGTAGCTACAGGTGGGTTGTTAGCTCAGCCAGAACATGCAGGAGATCTAGAAAAGACTTCTCCATATTCAGAAACTGTGCACAGTGGCTCCAAGAGGAAACAAACCAGGTGCACCAAGATGGAACTCAGCCTTAAGAGCAGGGCAAGAAGTTTTCCGATTGTACAGTTAAAGGTGATGAGGAATCAATGATAAAGCTTGAAACAGAGGCTTGGACAATGGTTCTCCAAGCATGTGTGAGTTGCTTTCAGGGCCTTAAGTAAAGAGGCCCAACAAAATGAGGCATTGGGGAGCAATGTAAATTCATGATCTGAAGATTCAGTACAGCTGGCCCCTGGTGCTCTATAGAAAAAAAAGAGGTTGAAATGTTGCTCAATCTGTTTTGCACGGAGATATTATCATCTTTATTATTATTCCTTCCACCAAGTTGACACTTTATCTACCAAGCTGATATTTCAAGAAAGGCTTTCTTAGTCAAAATGGATTCCTATCTTTTTTACCAGATCCTGAAAATAAATGCATACCCCAGAGAATGTGTACTTAGAACTCTAAGGGATTTCCTAGGTAAAATCTACTCTGCCATCTTTTAAAACAAATGAGTTCAGTTGCACAAATACATTCATACCAAACCACTTCAAAAAGAAATACAGTCAAGCTTCATAGATCACAGTTGAGTTTTTATTCCACTATTAGATGTCAT